CTCATCCACACTGTCCTCCATGTTGAGGAGGAACTCCTGAACACACACACAGACACACACAGACAGACACACACAGACACACACACACGTCAGGACTGGAGAACACCTGCAGCTCTTCATCACGCTGCCTAAAGACCTGCTCTGACCTTAAAGCTCCTCATGGTAGGAGGACCTGGAGGAGGGAGGTCTGGATCCATCATCCCCAGCCTGAGGAGCAGAAGAACCTGATCAGAACATCAGAACATCAGAACATTACACTACCAACACACAGGTGGAGCAGGACGAAGAGTCAGACCAGGCCACAGGTGAGCTGTTCAACTGAATCACTGATTCTGTTGAAGGTTTAATCTTCATCAGAGGGACAGGTGAGTCTGTTTACCTGAAGCAGGGTTCCTTCAGCTAAAGGCAGGTCAAATCTGACACTTTAAGACCTAACTAATGTCACTTAAAATTATATTTAAGACTTAAGACCTAACTAATGTCACTTAAAATTATATTTAAGACTATAAGACCTAACTATTGTCACATAAAATTATATTTAAGATTTTAAGACCTAATTAATGTCACTTAAAATTATATTTAAGACTTTAAGACCTAATTAATGTCACTTAAAATTATATTTAAGACTTTAAGACCTAATTAATGTCACTTAAAATTATATTTAAGACTATAAGACCTAATTGATGCCGCTTACAATTATACTATACTATATATACTCCCCCTCGTCACAGATGCTAAGTGTGGACGAGACTCTAGGCAGGGCTCACTCTAGTAGTATTTACCTCTACGGTCCTGTACCTGTCCTGCTGGATGTCTCTTAGAGTCCAGGACTCACCTGGCCTGCAGGGGGTGTCCTCCAGGATGTGGGTTAAGGTGGGGGATGTCCATGTGCCAGCCCTGAGGCCCCGCCCCTGGAAATGGAGCCCCTCCTCCTCCGTAGGGCAGTTCAAAGCGGTACGGCTCCCCCCGGTGGTCGTCCCTGGAACAACCCCACCAAAGAGCTAATGAGAACCAGGACAGAGACATGTCCTGCAGGTGGAGACATGTCCTGCAGGTGGAGACATGTCCACAGACAGACAGAGACATGTCCACAGACAGACAGAGACATGTCCCACAGACAGACAGAGACATGTCCTGCAGGTGGAGACATGTCCTGCAGGTGGAGACATGTCCACAGACAGACAGAGACATGTCCACAGACAGACAGAGACATGTCTCACAGACAGACAGAGACATGTCCACAGACAGAGACATGTCCCACAGACAGACAGAGACATGTCCACAGACAGAGTCATGTCCCACAGACAGAGACATGTCCCACAGACAGACAGAGACATGTCCACAGACAGAGACATGTCCCACAGACAGACAGAGACATGTCCCACAGACAGACAGAGACATGTCCCACAGACAGACAGAGACATGTCCCACAGACAGACAGAGACATGTCCCACAGACAGACAGAGACATGTCCCACAGACAGACAGAGACATGTCCACAGACAGACAGAGACATGTCC